ATAATGGTGTGGAGAGGATGGCTGTAAGGGGAGAAGGGAGGCCATCACAAAAAAAAAAAAAAAAAAAAAAAAAAAAATTTGCACAAGGAAGCTGAAGCAGAACAAAATGTGAAAGGAGCAGTAAAAGGTTGTAAACACATCTAAACATTTGAAAGATGTAAAATGAGCTCAATTCCTTTTTTTAATGAGGAAAAAAGTAGCAGAAAAGGCTAAATATTTCAAAAAGCTAAAGTTGCACCAATATCAAAAGTCATAGCAGCCTTCAGAAACATGTGATTAGCACCAGAGCTTCATAAACGTTCACACGTTCCCCCACGTTTCTGGTAAAAACTCTTAAGTTAAAGCTGTCATTGTCCTGCAGCCGTCGTTCCTTTGTTCCTCTCAGTCCGGATCAGTCTCACTCTGACTGCAGAGAAGGAGCTGATCCTTCAAATATTCATTCGTTTGTCGATCAATCTTCTGATCTTTGGGGTCAGGTTAATGTGATCAGATGTTCTGACCATCTTCTGAGGTGGCTTTCAGTGGAAACGTTACGAAGATCCAAAGTTGGAGGACGCTCTTTGACTTCTGAGTTTAACCAAAGTGGATCAATGGTGACCCAAAAGAGCTCCAATCATTTTTTAGAGCCTGATGGTTACGACGCATCAGACCCCCCCCCCCCCAACACACACCCACCCCCCCTTTGTTTAATTAAAAATGAGTTTCTGAGCTTTTTCACATCGTAGTGCTCCAAGTTTATCTCATCCCACCAGACCTCTGCTTCAGCATTAACTGTTGGAGTTGACCCTGTTTGTCTGTTAGCAAAATATCTCATGAACCACTGGACATATTTTAATAAAATCCTGTGTAATTAAATTTTTGGATCTACAGCTAAATAATATTAGTTAACACAAAAAGCTACAGTTCAGTCAATTTTACACAGAATGAACTGAACTTTGATGTGGTAGTAGTTGAGAGTTGTCCCCAGCGCAGACCACACAGCTACAGCTGCATCATTTCTCAGTGAGTCTGAAGTTCTTCCTGAGAGGCAGCGGGTGATATGCATTCCTTCGAGGAATGCTGGGTCTTTGTTTTTCAGTGCATCGTCATTATTTGTTCAGCAAGTTTCAGCTCAGATCTTATTTTGGGCCATGTGTTCAGTCTGCCTGCAGTCAGCCTCTGCAGCTTGACTTTAAGGCATGTAAATATTGGGGGGGGGGGGGGGGGGGGTGCTCCAGCTGAACTTGGCGATTGATACAAATCAAAATGGTAATTCAGTGAGGGTGGATGTTGAGGTTAACGCAGGTCTGGACTTTCACACAGTCACGGTCAGGATGTACGTGAACATGGTCAGTGTGAGGTGCAGGTGGGGGGCGTAGATTGACCTGTAACCTCTGACCCCTGACTCTGACAGAAGGATTGGGGGACAGACGTCGATGAAAGGACAAAAGGGAGGAGGCGGTGGAGTCAGGAAGGACAAAGGAGGTCTGGTCCAGGACTGGAAGATGGATGTCCTCCCAGTGGTGGGGCGAGGCCAGCTGGGAGGACCGTCCCTTAAAGGGAAACAAAGGACGGCGAGCGTCTCGGCAGAACCCCCAAATTAACATCCTAATTCTGTGGAGCGCCATTTTATGAGCAAAACCCACTCCAGTTGCACGAACAGCATCAGAGAAGAATTACTTACATTTCTCTAGTTGTTTTATTTTTATGGGATAGAATAATTTATAGTTCCACGCTCCAAAACAAAGAAAAGCTTTTCAGTGCGTTCACTTCCTGTTTCCTGGTCTATTTAATGAAATGTTCTGTCACCAGGCTTTTGGTAAAAACCAACTTGTGTGCCAACCTCAGCAGTTTGAGTAAATCCTAAATGTCTTGTTGTTGTTTTGACTGAGGCACATGAAGCCCCCACTCCGTCTCCCCCCCCCCCATCCCCCACAGCCCTGCTCACAAGTCCCATTTTGGGGACCCCCTTCAGATTGATGGAGCTGATCGACCAGCTGCGTATAAAGCAGCATCGGTTGGAGCGTTGAGGTCAACAGATCAAGGAGATGCTGAGGGGCGACCTGAATTGTGGTGGTGGTGGGGGTTGTAGTGGGGGTGCCTCTAACGCTGAGTGGGGTGTCGAGGGAGCAGCCAGCTCTGGGTGGTCAGCTGGTGTGGATATGAAGGGATCGTGCTGATCTTTGGGAATTTAAGACACGTCTTCCAACATCACCCTCCAAACATCTAGATCCATCTCCTGAGTTTGGATGAGCAGTCTGAAGAGTTCTTGTTGTTTCTCATAGGATTCAGTCAGAGTTGAATTAAGGGTTCCTCAAACCAACATTTTTTTTTTTTTCTTCTAACGATGAAGGTCAGGAAGTTGTACCTCACCTGTTCCCTTCTCCCCTCTCTGTGCTAGAGTTAAATTTGTCTGGGAGATTAAAAAATAATACCCCAAAGGAAAAATGCAAATTAAAAATAAATTAGGTCTGTGTTCAGTCCTTTCAGGCTTCTATTGTCCATTTTACTCCTTTTAAGAAACAGGCATTCCACAAGGCTTTGTTGTAGGACCACTGCTTTCTTCTTTTTATTTGTGTTTTATGTTTAAAGATTTATCTGAAACTTGAAAAGAGTTTTGCACTCTCACGTGCACAAAGCTGAGCTGACATTTTAACATGTGACACTGGGCTGTTTTTCAAACTCTGCATTGTCTCTCTGCTACTCTCCAGCTCCACCAGAATTTCTCCAGTGGCCGCAGTCCGTCTCCAAACCCGCAGGGGGCAATGCTGTGTTCACCTGCGTGGCTCAAGGTGTCCCTGATCCTCATCTAATATGGCTCAAGAATGGCAAGGTCCTGACACCAGGACAGAATGTCAAGCTGACAAACAACAACAGGTGGGACACCCTACCAGTGACCCTTTTGTCATGATCATAGCTTTTTGTCGACCCTCGGGTGGGATCAGCTCTCGAAGAGAACGAGGGGTAAAACAGAAAATAAATAAAAAATAAAGTAAATGAAATATACCAAATAAAAGCTAAAATAGGCTAAATGCTAGCTTAAAGCTAAAAGGAGCAAAAGGCTAACTAGAAAGTAAACAGGATAGTTAAAAGCTAAAGGTAGCAAAAACTAGCTAAAAGCTAAATTGGCAAAAGGTTAAAATTAAAAGTAGCAATATGTTATAATTGTTAATAAGCTATAAGTAACTAGAAAATAACAGAAGTGTAGCTAAAAACTTAAAAGGCTAGCTAAAAGTAGCAAAATGGCAGCAATATGCTAAAACTAGCAATAGACCTACTAGAAGGTAAAAATAGCAGCAAGTCAGTTAAAAGCTAAAAGTAGCAAAAGACTAGCTAAGAGTAGCAAAAAGGTATCTAAAAGCTAAAAGTAACAGAAAGGAAGCTGGAAGTCGTGTAAGAAGACAAAATCAGTGCATGTATGCAGAAGTTATATAAATGTAAATACTGTATTATGAAACGTAAAAGTAAAAAAAAAAAAAACTTAGCCTCCATCTCCTGCATGAGCCGAAACTGTTGTTGCACACAAACAGCAAAAATAGCACAAAGTACAAAACGTTATTAACTCATGTTTTATATATGAATGTTTATGTACAGCACCCTGAGACGACTTCTGTTGTGATCTGTCGCTATATAAATAAAATGTTAATGCTGAATTAGCATTCACACATTTATTCTTAGACGTTTGTATGAATTTATATCAGAAGTCCAACATGTGATCACTGAGTATGACACGCATGTGTGTACACTCCTGCTGCCCTTGGGTCAAAATGATCTGCAGGCCTCTGTGACCCAAGGGTTCTACAGTAGGTTTTATAGCCCTGCAGTAAAAAACATGCACCACTGGGGGGCAGCAGTGCAAAAACAGTTCAGTTTATACATCTCACCCATGAACTATGACAGTAAACATGGTCTGTTTATTTAGGGGACGTTTTTATATCTAGTTTACTTTGAATATTTAGTTCATGTGTTTTCTGTGATTGACAGGATGAAGATGATGTTGAAGTCAGAGTCAGTGTCTCAGGTCTCGTAAATGAGTCCCCGAGGCTCAATGGGACTAACCTGTATAAATAAAGGTTGAATGAAAGTGTAACAGTTTCAGACGTATAGGAGAGAGAGAGCAGGCTGCTTCAGTCGGAGGTCCTCTCTGATCCTGGATGTGCCAGTTAACTGATGCATTGTTGTTTTTGTTCCTGCAGCACTCTGGCTCTGACCCGGATCAGCTCAGAGGACGAGGCTATCTACCAGTGCATCGCAGAGAACAGCGCTGGCACCAACCAGGCCAGTGCTCGGCTGGCTGTGACCCAGGCTAAAGACCTGCCCCCTGCTCCTCAGGGCCTCGTGGCTAGTCCTGTGTCCACCAGCACCCTGCAGATCACATGGAGCAGTCCCTCCAGCGGCTCCACAGACATCATCGGATACGTCCTGCACATCCGCAAGATAGGCGGTGAGCTCAACCGCTCACGAGCCACAGAGTCACAGACACAACTTGTATTTATATACGATTATAACTGAGTTGTGCTTGTGTGTTTTATTTAGAACCTGACAGCTTGGAGCTGCAGGAGGCCATCAGTAAGGACACTTTTCAGCATGATGTGACCAACCTGGAGGCAGCCACCACCTACTCTCTGTACCTGAAGGCCTACTCCTCCATGGGGGCCAGTCAGCAGTCCAACATGGTGGTCACAACGACACATGGTGGAGGTAAACACAGGAAACCAGCCCACAATCTTAGCTGTGCTGCTATGTGTTGTTGTTTGTCTGTCTGTTAGCAAAATATCTGTAATTCATCTTGAATCTGTCCTCTCTGTCGTTGATTTGCTCTTCCTCCAGTCCCGACCCCTCCCACATACTTCACCAAGGTTTTGAACTCCAGCGCGGTGCAGGTCCTCTGGGAGCTCCCGAGCAAGGCGGGCAGTGTTGAGGGCTTCAGGCTGTCCTACCGGAAAGTCCCGCATTCGAGCTACCAGGAACCGGTCCAGTTCCCTCCTCATATCAATGCCCACACCATTTCTGACCTGGGTATGTCAGCGTGTCCATCTGTGTGCTTTTTGTTGCTACAACTTTGGTTTCTCAAACTTTTTAATGTCCATCCATCATCTTTACCGGCTTCTTCCTTTTCGGGTAATACTCATGTATTACTGGTAATTTGATTTTTGTCTCTTGAGACAGAAATAAGAAAAATCTGTTCTTAGCAGTCTTTTTAATAATTAATTCATTCTATGGAAACAATTTTAAGATGGCAATGTTGGTTCTTCACGACCTGCAGCGTATTTATCTTTATTGTACAGAAAACCATCTTTCGAGTCCCTGACAGTTTCTGTTCCAGCTGTTAAAATAAACTCTAAAGGTTGACACAAATATTTGTCTCTCCACAGTTGAGTTAAAACCTTTTGTGGATTCTTCAAGTTCAAGGTTCTTTATTGTCAATGGTGCATCAGACAGCAGCTGCTCTGATTGGGTCCAACTGTGGCTCTGCTTCTCTTTATTTGTTGAAATCAGCATCAGTTTGATCCTCGCATCATCGTCACATTAGAGGGCTTCAATCACGTTTATTTCTCCTCATCATCTTTACAGATGACGGACATTAGTTGTGGCGATGAAGAACATTAATCCCTCCTACCCTGACAAATTATAAAGCCATAAAGTAACATATTTCAAACCAATTTACACATTTTTTATTTAATAAAAAAAAAAAAGTAAGGCCTTAATGTTAGATACATGAATTAAAGTCTTTTGAAGGATGCTCGGACACCCTGACGTATGTTTTGTTCATGTTTATTTTAAATCTTTGAGTCATTCACAATCATTTAAATCTGATCAAGACCATAAACTGTATAGAAGAAGAACTGGACACCGGAACGGGGAAGTTGAAGCCAAATGAAAATGAGGACCCCTAGTGGCCGACTGCGGTATGTCAATGTGAAGAACTTCAACTTTAAATAAAAGGACAGCACACCTCCTATAAGATTTCACTCTAGGTGCTGACATCTGTTCTTGCCTTGCAGCTGTTTGTTTAAATAGTTATTTCTCCAACATGTTTAGTTGCAGAGTTACTGATGCATCAAAAAGATTATTTCTCATGACGAATCAGACAGATCTGAATGAACGGTGCATGAAGGGATCACAGTGTCTTTCTACATCTGATCCCTGGCTTTAATCAGTATCTGCAAACAGGAAAACGTTCAGTGAACATAGCAGAGCTGATCTTTCCTGACCTCTGAGTGAGCTGGTCTCTTTGTTTCAGAACCCGGGGCGGTGTATGAAATTAAACTGGTGGCCTACAATGGAAATGGAGAAAGTGACTGCTCCAAGAGGCTGGTGTCGCTCGCAGAGCAAAGCTTGAGTGAACAGATGACAGGTGAGTACTGACCTTGAACAGATTTCACTGAGCACTGTGGTACCGTGACCTTCACTGGGACGAGTTGAACTTAATGCTGAACAATCAGAGTCAAACTGATTTAGGAACCATTTGTCTTCCTCTGCACTTTCCCACAGTGCTCGTCATAAATTAAATGAGCTTGTTGGTTGTTTCAGGAGGGAGCGGCCCGTGTCAGTGCAGGGATGGAGAGGCGTCTCTGGGCAGCGTCGTCATTGGGATTCATATTGGCACCGCCTGCATCATCTTCTGTGTTCTCTTTCTCATGTTTGGGTACCGTCACAGGTAAGAGCCTGTCTGTGGTGCATCTGTTCCTGGAGTCGGAAGTTTCCTTTCCATCATTACGGACATCGCAGATTGATTTGGAGCTTTAAATGTTTTTTGTCCCCCCGTCGCAGATCAAAAAGCAAAAATATTCTTTGTCCATGCGTGTTGTGATAACTTAAAATAGGTGACTTTCATTTTGGTGTGTGGCTGCATCTATGTGTAAGAAATGTCGCTTCCAACAATTGAGTTGCCATGTCAGAATCCAAGATGGCTGCCACCACCTTAAAAGCCATGTACTGGCCACCGCAATCATTTGAGAAACTATGCTTTCTAGTTTTTATATTGCTTAAAAGTATAGTGTCCTCAAATGATTGGGGTGACCAAAGATTAATCTATGGGGGCCAAGGCCTCCACTGGCCACCCCCTGATTCCTCCATTGCACCTGGTGGTGGATGAAATGTCTCCCTCCTCTCTCTGGGATTTGCTCTGCCTCAGACAAGAAAACAGAAACCTCCCTCTGTTCTTCTCCACGGTGTCACTCCTACACATTTTAATATCCTGCACTAAAAACATTAAGGTTTACATACTTCATTCCCTGTTCAGTTCCAGTGCAGAAAAACACTCATCTCCAAAACTACAACTATTTACTATTCAAACTCCTCAGCAATGGAGACAATGAAGTACCACTTGCATAAAACCTTTTCTGAACAGCATGCAGCTTCAATGTTTTTTTAAATAAAGCACAATATTTAATTTTTTATGTATGTTGTCTAATGTGCACAGGGTTCTAATGGGTTCTAAAGGGTTAAAGGGTTCTAATTCATACTCGCAGACCGTTAACGTTTGGTTAAATGTCCCTCGGTGAGCCGCACTTGGACCACAGACTGTATCCATCAACTTCTGGTAGAACTCTGGCTGAGATCTGACCTTTCTTCCTGTTGGTTTCTTAGTTGAGTTCTTTTAAACTGGTTGGTTTCTGGCACAGAGCCAGCTTTGAAACAGAGTCCAGAAACTTTCAGTCAGGTTGAGGTCGGGGTTTTAAGAAGGTCCAGACCAGGGTCTTGATGTTAGTTTGTTTTATCCAATCGGAGACCAGTTCTGATGGGTTCTAATGGTATCATGGTCCTGTTTGAACCTGCTGTGTCCAAGGTTCAACCATCTATCTAATATTAGACCACAGCATGATACTGCCACCACCATGTTTCACAGCTGATTCAGCGATCTCAGGCCTGAAAGCCTCACCTTGATTCCTCCAAACAAACTTCTTGTCTTTGGGGCCGAACAGTCCAATCTTTGTTCTGACCATCAAACTTTTCTCCAGAGGACTTTTGGCTCGTCCACATGGACAGCTTGAAGGTGTCTCTCTCAAGAGCTTCTCTCCTGATCAGCTCCCTCTCAATTAAACAGTTGTTTGAACTGATTATCTTGGAAACAGGAGGTTTTTTTTTTTCCAAGGCTCCAAGAGATTTCCCCCACTTGTATAAATCTAAAGTTTTCCTTTCTACATCGTCACTGTTCCCCACTGTTAGGAGCTATGGTCAGTCCAAGTGTTGTCCAACAAATCCTTTTTATGCCACCAAAGACTAACTAGCAGCTGCAGTCAATCATAATCACTAGCAGTAAGTTCAAAAGCCTGTTTGAGCCTGCACTTTACTTTTGATCTTGTGTGGATTCGAGAAAAAGCCACAATAAATTAAAACTTTTCAAAATGACGTTCTATCATCATTCAACCCTGGAAACAAAAAGAATGTTTCAAATAAACCGTTAAAAATCTCAAATTAATCTAACATTCGTGAGCTCTGAGTGATATGATCAAAAGATGATAACAGCAATGAATGGTCAGCATCATAACCAGTTCTTTAGCTTCCATAAAGTCAGTTCTTGTGTTTGCAGCCTGTTCTGCAGTAAAGGGACTCAGGACAGCTGGCCCACACCCAGAATCCATACAGCTCACAGCATCAACGGTAAAGATGGAGTCAACCAGTCCAGGATGGAGCCTGACACCCCGGTAATTTCTTCAACATCCATGTTAAGATCAGCTAAAGTATTTATTGTGATGTTTTCTGCACCCCAAGGTGCCATAAAGCAGTGGTTCCCAACCGTGGTCCTTGAGGAACACCATACTGCCTGTTTTAGTTGTTTCTCTGCTCCAACACACCTGATTCGGTGATTTAATTACTTCCTCAAGTTCTGCAGAAGCATATTAATCACCCATTTATTCAAATCAGGTGTGTTGGAGCAGGAAACAACTAAAATATGCAGGAAGGTGTTCCTCAAGGATCAGTGTTGGGAACCACTGCGAAATACCAAAACACGTAGCGATGTACTTCGATGTACAACTGAACGACAAACCAATGCATAGTTTTTTTTACTGCAAATGTTGTCTGCATTTAAAGTTTGGTTGTGTACGTTTCTGACACGTGCAGGGCGCAGTTCAGAACTAAACCACCACATGTCAGTCTAACACGTCTGATCTTTGACCCCGTTCTCCTTCTGGTTCTGTCTTTCTGTCAGCAGGCCGTCTGTCCAGCACACTGCCAGGTCATCGTAGAGCAGCATCCCTCAGAGTTTGCTGGCACGGGAACTGGCTGACATTGGTCAACTTCTTGTCTCCACACACCTCCCTGCCCCCGACACTAAATTCACTCAAATATTAAGTTCAGCCACTGAACTCTTCAAAATCTGCTGCTATTTATCTGAATGTAGATTGTAGACGTGGACTAGGTGGTATCCTGGTCTGTCTCTCACACACACACGCACATACACACACACGCACACACACACACACACACATCGTCCTCCTCTACCTCAAACCAAAGCCCGTTGCCTCTGCTGCCTGTGCACTTGCACACGTGTACGTGAAGAACGCCTTCAGTGCTCCTCAAACCATCTTGAAGGATTGTTTTGTGCACACCACGGACATGTCACTTTTTCACCTGGAGTCTGTTTCATAACCAAAATATAGTCCCCCTCAGGCCCCACCTGAAAACCTGACATATGTGGATGTGCACCTTGGTCTAAGAACCAAGAAACCAAATATTACCTCCTGCCTGAGGCGGCACCATGAAGCTGCTGTGACGGTTTTGCCTTAAACAAACAAAAAAAGGCAAACGCTTTACCACGAACTCTGGATAGAAACTACGATCTACTGCTTTAAAAACTATTTAGGGGAGAGAAAAAAAGGCCAAAAGCTGCATATCTCCAAAGAAAACTACCTCAGGCTGGCAAGAATATGTGAGCAGTAATTCAGGTAAAAGGCTAAAGAGTAGTCTGCTGTGATGTTCTGTCAGATAATTATTAATAGGTTGTACCTTCTTAGTTAGTAGTCTTCACTCAGGCTAAGCTAAAGGCTAACAGTGGGGCTCATTTTAAATCGTTTCTAACTTTATTTGTAGATGGAAATATGTGTGTGAAAGCAGAGCAGTCTTCTTCCAGTGAGAGAGTCGGGGGGTTCAATTCCACCGATATACAGCCACGTGTCCTTGAGCAAGACGATGAATCCTTCACCGCCTCTGATGTGTGTCCTGTCAGTCTGAATGTGATCTGAAGCCCTGATCAGTCTCTATAGGACGATTATCTTTGTAGATATGTAGCAGAGTGCTGCATGGATGTTTGTGGATGACTAACTGAGGACACTGGTTGTGCTGGACCCACTTTCAGTCTCCTGGTTAGCTGGAAGGGTGCTAAATAAGTACAGTCCATTTAACAACAAAGTCCATGCTCAGTACAGTCCATTTACACATTAGGGTGATGTCATTTGTTTATTTTCCTGTTTTTTCAACCGAGCAATGTTCGTGTTGCAGCATGAATGTATGCGAGCTGAGCGTAGACCGTATAGATGGAGTTGTTGGTGCCGTGGCTGCTGAACGTACCGATCGAGTGGACCGATACGTTCAGGAGGTGGATGTTAACGTGACACGGTGTGGTCCGGTTGGAAAGATAGTAACTAAACAAATGCTATGAAAATGTAGAGGTTTAATATTAAATAATATAGTGTTCTTTCACGTGGATAAAAAGGGTAATAAAAGTCCGAAAATAATATAAAACAGACCCTTATTTAAATAAAATAATAAAGTGCTATGTGTTGTCATCATACAATGAGGAAATTAGTTCTCTACATTTAACCCATTGCCCCTGAGTTATGCTCAGGTGGAGCAGTGGGAAGGGCTGGGGATTGAACCTGGGACTTTCGGATCTTGAGTCGGTCGCTCTGCCTCTACCCCATCTCGGCCCCAATTTAGCTAGCCATTAGCCTAGCCTGGATGAAGACTTCTGCCCTTTTTTCCATGACTGATAAATTACTATTGAGAACTCTTTGATAGGACATCACTTCCAAAATGACCAGAGCATCTCTTAAACTTCATAACGCTGCTTCAGTCGGCCTACTCAGCCCCAAAACAAACACTTCAAGCAGGCGTTGTGTGACCTCGTGACCAGTGCCAGTCATTGTACCGTGCCAGCTACAGACCGCTGTCGTCCAGAGAGACCTCAACCTGATGACAACCACTGAGAGTAAACCACGCTGTGCTGGATTCTAAGTTAGTGAAACTCCTAAGCTTCACTCCACCGGTGGTGGACATGAGCCCTAACGACCCCCGTCCAACCCTTCCTGAGTTTCCATCATCAGAAGGCGTTTTTTGGGTTGAAACGTTCTACTTTTCTGATTTGCCTTCAGAGATCTCAAGAAGGTAGAAGTAGTGCCTCCGTTTTTCCTGCTGCTCTTTTCGGTGGACGTCCACGCCATCAAAAGACAAAACGCAGCGGGCCATGGAAAACATGGCGCAGGGAGTGCAGTGATAGAATATGGAACCCAGCCGTCCAATGTTCTCATTTTTTTTTACAGCGGTCGTTTCGTCTGCACAAAGCTGAAGCGTATGAAAGCCAAATGGTTGCTTGCATTCACGCCAGAAAATGACTTCTCTGTGTTTCACTGGGACCCTGACTGAGCTGGCAGCTGAAGAAGCTTTATGACGACGTCTTTCTACACGAACAAAGATCCTCTTTCACCTCGTCAGCCTTTCC